CCCCAAAACCCCAAAACCCCAAAACCCCAAAACCCCGCCAAATATTCTCTGGGTTGAAATGAGTAGAATAAGGTGGAATCAATAAAGGAGATACTCCGAAACATTATTTTGCTCTTAGAAGATACACCTAAAATAATTAAAGCTATGAATAATTTCAGTTCATTATAATTTTTCCATGATGTTCTTAGCAGCTTAGCACGAGAGCTAAGCTTTTGTAGGGATACGATGGATACTGAATTCTACATAAAAGGCTCCAAAACCCACTATATCTCTACAAAAATGAATTCTCATGCTAATATGATGGCACTGTCATTGCACGATTACAATTAATTAGCAATATTTTATTATTTGAATTATTCCGAGTGAGCCCACAATAATATTTCTAATTTTTCTCATAAACAAGCATTTTATCCTTTACTCTTGTTTCCCAGTCTGGATATTCACTGCCTCCAATCAAGTGTTTAGCCTGGGCTAGCCATTAAAATACTCATTGTCTTCATTAAGCTGGGTGGTCGAACAACACTGTATTTTAAGGGACTTGAACGACGGCCCAACATCTTTCGAGGCACTCAATTGTCAAGGTACTCAAAATGTTACATATAGATAGTACAACGACTGAAGCACAACGTTTAAGTATTTTTCAAGCTATGAAGATCCTTCTGAAGTTTCTTGCTGTATAGTTGGTCAAAATTTGGATTTACTCATATTGCGAAAACTCGACTCGTAAAAAATTTGTTGCCATCAGGAAGACTCCGAGCAAATTTCTGGTATAAAAACTACAGTTTTATGAAATTTAGACTTAATTTTCAAACTGTAAAATTTTGTATTTGCCACAAAGCATTCAATTATTTGTGAGTGTTTGCTAGAAATAGCTTAGCCTAAGCTCCACGCATAGATTTCTGGATAAGCCTACTCTTTGGCTGAACTCATCGATTTGCTATAATCTTGATTTAACTGAATGGCAAAAGTACTCTGAAGCAGTTTGTTCTTTGTGTAATTCAGGTGGTTTCCATCTTGTCTCTTCTCACCTGGGTCAGTAGCTTTGGGAAAGAATTCAACATCCTAACCCACCTTTTCTTAGTCGTGGCAATAAGAAATGAGATGCCTTCAAGGCTGTGGAGCTGGGGATTAAGCTTGATAAGTTTTACCAATAATTTATTAGACTCGCCATCTTTTATAATGAGAGTAGCGTCATGATCGTTCCTTAGGCTACGAATAGATAGACTGCCTCTGGACAATATAAAAGGAGTTCATGCTCTCTTTCTGCAGTTGTTCACCCTGTTGTTTCATGACATGCTGCTTGCAAATCTGTTCCCTTTAAACTTCCAAGTAATGTTCGAGTAAGTCTGTCTCATTTGGAAGGAAATATATTTAATTTCTGTTGAAATCTTAGACCGGATTGATAAGGATTTAAATTTTATTTGAGAACAGCTTTTAATCGAAGCCAGTTTCCAAGGCAATATTATTGACTCCAAATGGCACCTAACCAATGGGTTTCCTTCACCAAAATAGATTTAATGTTTTAAGCAGAACGAAGGCTCGTTGAGTTCATAACAGTCAAGTCTTGCTTTTGGTATTGATCAGTTTTGGTTCCACAATCTTAATAATTTTGGTGGGGTTTTGGGGTTTTGGGGTTTTGGGGTTTTGGGG